TGTAGAGTCGTTGTGTATCTGAAGTTACGCTGCCACACCTGTGTAAATAATCTGGGAATTGAAAGCGCATCGTGGCCAACTGTTTTGGCAGTTGAACGTTTTTCCCAGTTTCAGGTGTTCTGGAAACGACGCATGCTCTACCTGAATTAATAGTGAATAGGATGCACAAACATAAGTCTGATAATCTCTTGTGTCTTTGACGATGATGACAAATATACTCATAATTTTTATTATTTTAGTGGCAGTAAAGATGGAGGAGTCGATATTTGCGTACATATTTATGGAATCAAATTTGTAATTTAGTGTAAAAATTGGATTAAAGAAATAGGTATTAAGAGGCGTGCTGATGTTGAAATTTTTTTGTTTCAATTTGAAACTTAATAACTAATACCAATTCTAAGGTTTAACTTTGGTAACTTTTACTTGATACACACAAAAAATTTTAGTATCAGCCAAGTAAATTATATCTAGTAGTTTATTTGAATATATATTTATTGCCTTAATAATTACAGGTCCTTCTGTTGTGCAATCATTAGATGGAACTCTCACCCTACAACCAAAAGGGACTATTGGTGTTGTGGTGGTTCCTGATGAAGGAAGTTTTACTTTAAAGTGTGAAGAAAGATCAAGAATCTCGATTCATCATATTATTCTCACAAAAAAAGTAATATTTGTAGAGACATTGAATGCACTAGTCAAATTATTCATTTTGTTTCTTGTTGCAAATATTTTTTTATTTCTTTTGTTTGTACTAATTTGGTCACTTTATTTGTTTGTATGTATTTAAAATATTCGTAATACAATAATTTTTTAGAAATCCATTTTAATTGTGTTATAGTAATAACTTTATCAATATGAAATTAAACGTAAAATTTGCGCAAAATTAATCATATCGAAATATATCTACTAATAAATCGCACAAAATATCAGAATATCGAAATTAAATAAATTCGATCAAAATTAATTATTGAATTTCTCAGCACACTCCAGGAAAAATCAATTTCGAACAAAATTATGCGTCCCATAAATATTT